TCACGGGCGTCACATGATTTCTTTAATGTGCGCCCTGGTACCATGTGAGTCCATTTCTGAACCCCCATCCATGCTACATTCCAGAACCACCCATTCAATGTCTAATTGCATCTATTCCTAAAAACCCCAAAAAATGGTCATACCAAAAAAAATTGGTAATACCAGAAATTTCTGGTTTCCAGGATTCGGAGTATGAAAAGGAGTACGTTGGAGGGATCAGGTAGGGTTTAGGGTTTCAGTTCCTCAACACGCCTGAACCACTTATACCTAAACCTTCAACCCTGAATCCCTCAGTCCCTAATCCAAAACCTTGTTTTAAGTCCTAAATCCTTACAGCCGTAAATTCCTACAGGGTAAAACCCCAAACCCTAAACCCGAAACCCTACACCCGAAACCCTAAACCCGAAACCCGAAACCCCTTGAAGAGCTGCGAGGAGCCTTTGGATGATTGGGAGCCTCCCAAGAGGCCAACAGCTGTTTTGGCTTTGTTTTTGAAGGGCTTAGGGTCTAGGGTTTAGGGTTTGGGGTTTGGGGTTTAGGGTTTAGGGTTTAGGGTTTAGGGTTTACTTCTTTGCTGTCTCAACCAACCAAGAGAAGTAGCAACCCTGCAAACCCTAAACCCTTTACCACTCTCACCTATATACACAAAGCATGCGCTCTTAGTGGGCATTGGCCCAACGGTTCTTGGCATTGGCCCAACGGTTATTGGCCCAACGGTTCATGGTTCAGCACGGGTTTAGGGTGAGGGTTCGCGGCCAGATTTCAAGTTTCAGCACATACCTAGGGTTTGGGGTGCAAGGCCTGGCCTAGGATTTAGGGTTCAGGGCCTAGGTTTTAGGGTTTTAGGGTTCAGGGGTTTTAGGTTCAGCGCCTAGGGTTTAGGGTGCAGGGGGGGGCTAGGGTAGCCCAGGGGGGTTCAGGGCAGAGGGTTTAGGGTTCAGCCTAGGATTTAGGGTTCAGGGCCTAGATTTTCGGGTTCAGCATCTAAGCTGGTTCAGCCCAGGATATGGGTTCAGGGTTTAGGGTTTGGAGCATGGATGCCCGCAGGCGAGCTCCCCATGATGTTAGGCAGAACTCAACTAGGGTAGGACCTGGATGGAGATATTTTCAAAGGGGCCAACTTAGCAGCCAGCGTTGCGCATGTGTTCATGCTCTAGACTGCCGGCAGCAGGAGCGCAAGCGTGTCAGGGCCTTGTATAAGGTAATGTCTATAGGGCTACTGGATGGGAATTGGGCCTTCTTCGGGGTTGAACATGTAACCCCCTAACCCAAAGGTCCAAAGGTTATGCCTCTGTCCTCGGTACACTCAGCCGCCGATCCTACTCCTTGTCCGATTGTCTCGGTTGGGTACCCCAGGATCCGAGAAACCGCTGATTCCGCGGCTAGTTGCGGGCTTGGGGAGATCATGACATGACGGTCAGAAAAGCGGCGCCAAGGATGCACCAGGGGTCAGGCATCTGGGGTTGTCGCCATCACCACGGGGGGCGGTGGGGGCTGAAGGGTCAGCAGAGGGCGCGTACAATGTGCCACTCCCCGTCCACGATATGGCGCAAACAAAAACCCTCCCTTTTGGGTCTGTAGGAGGAGGGGTGGGGGAGTGGGGGCGTGTCGCCTCGAAAGCAAATCACGCCGCCAAGGCCGGCGGATAATTAATTCAAGGGGGTTTTGCACGCACATAGCAAACCAGACGATGTGTGTTTTCGGTACTCGCAGTTGGTTTTCGAATTCCCAAATTGGCAGGCACCTAAAGGATTGGTGTTTCTGTGCTATAAAGTTTTTTGGGCACATCTGCAATCAGCCTCACGAGCCTCCTGCTAAGTCGACAAGTACCAGTCAGCACTGGTCAAATCATGCAAAGGGAACGGGGAAAAGTTGCTGTTGGGACATCACGTCACAGGCCAGGAGATATGCCATCCCAGCATGGAACAATAGAAGCGAGCGGCTTAACTTTGACACAGCGGTCTAAGGAAGCTATGTCACCAGAGACCCGAAGAACCCAAGCCAAGACCTTAGAATGATTGTTAAACTGTCCCGAACAAGTGAGTCCGGACTGATTTCCGAACCCGAATGACTTCACGTGTCTAATACCTACAATGTGTTCAGCAGCGACACCATGTTTGGCCAAAATTTGTAGAAAGACATCTTTGAATCTGCGAACAAATACTCCAACAGTCATCTCGTGATCACATATCCCTGCAAACAGGCCATATGTCGCCACAAATTCAACTGCGAGGGCCACCCACGTGGTCCTATCCAGTGTATGCTTAGTCCCCCACTTCCATCGGCCATCAGTAATAAAGGCGGAAAAAGCCGAAAGCGCATCATTGGAGATAGGAGCCCTCTTAATTTTAACAATGCCACAGTGCACCTGTTGAAGGGGAGGACTAAGAATACCGTTGAAAAAGACCACTCTTCGGAAGGCTGGATGGAGCGACCACAACCTCTCAGAGATCGAACTGTCGAAATTTTGCTGACGTGTAACCGCATTTAAGAACACTTGCTCCAACCTGCCGACATGCGTAACGCAACAGGACTGTCTGCAGTTTGGTTTGCTCTTGCCCGTTACACGCTTAGCAGGGCGACAGGTACACGTACACGATAACTTCGCATTGCTGAAAGGTTGCAAGGCCCTATCATTACAAAGATCGGGGGCAATATCAAACTGCGACATATCTTTACGCGCAAGCAAGGTTGCCACAGCATGCGTTTGAATGTCGACTGCTCGATATATGAAAGGCTTGAGCTCCTGCAGGTTTGCCAAGAAAGCTTCACGGGCTTTTTGTTTGGCACTTCTATCAGCAAGAGCATTTCCACGCGTCAAGTGCGAAGGTTGCCCCGTGTATCCACTTGGCACATGAGCTTTCACCTTGATGAACTTGATATCGCAATCAAGCCTTTTGTGAACCTCATCAAGAAACGCGGCCCACAAGTCAAAATTATCGTAGTTTAGAATATCCTCGCGTCGATATCCATGTTGCTTGAGAGAGATTGCCCTATTAACAACAGCTGCACAGTCGCTGACAAGCGTAACCGGCCCACAAGTGAGTTTCAGCGCCAACACAGCTGCATATAGCTCAGCGCGTTGAGATGTGAGATCTCTTCCAGGAAGAGTCACCGCGATGTCCAACTTATCTGGAATTACAACGGCACAAGCGGCGGCACGTAAAGCTGCCCAGTTTTCATGGTAAGCAGATCCATCCAGAAAAATCGGCTCATCCACTGTGAAGGTCTCTGATATCTCCGGAAACTGAAGCAAAGAGTCATGGAACCTGCCTACTTTGTAGACTTCATGGGGGGCGAAAAACACTCCAGCAGTCCACGAAACTGCATCTTCATGACCCCTGATAGGTCTGGTGTTCGCATATAACGGGCACTCCATGAACAGGTGCTGATGAGTTTCAGCGCATTCTTTGCACCAGCATTCATCTGTGTGGGCCATGTCTGCTGCTTTGAGTCGCGGTCCTGTAAACACACCACCTGTCATAAGCAAGTCCAAAATGGCGCGGGTGTGGGCATGATTTGAAGGCAGTCGTTGTAGGAAGGGCTTTAAGAACTCAAAGTCCTTGTCGGATCGAAAATCTGAGTCTGCAAGAAATCTGGTCAAGAATATGTCAATACCTGAGATGTTTGATGAAAGTTGGCAGTCATGCCGACATGATACTTTTCGAAGAAGATACGTCCGGACTGCAACTCCGAGCTCATCCTTGAAGTGTTGAGAGCTTCCCGCTGCTAAGCAGATTTCTCCGCGCTGCGGGGTAAGGACAACAAAGTTTTCCGCATCAAGAATGGACCATTGCAGTTCCTGACATAGAAAGGCAAAGACGGCTGCTACACCATTGCTAGTCTGTTGCACTTTGCCGGCCAGACCCTGAGCATTAGCAAGAACCCGCACTGCAGGACCGGGATGCTTCCGAATCATCTTTCTAAGCTTGCAAAATGAGTGCAGAGCCCACTTACCAAAAGGGTCGAGAAAGGGGTCAGCACGGGTAGCCATACTCAAAAAGGGGCACCGAACAGGGTTCTTCTTAAATAAACAAGCCACAACAGCTGAACGGACGCTATGCAGGGCGCGCGCGGAGGGAGCTTGTATTTCAGAACCGTAAACCCATTTAGAGTGAGCATTTGAATGTATGTGAATCTGCTTTTGCTGTTGGGTCAAGGGTAACACGGCAATCTTTCGCAGCATCTGGCATGCCTTTGCAGCTCGTTCGTTTTGGATAGAGACGCTGCCTTTGAGCCTGCAAGACTGAGTATAACCCAAGGACTTGACTGTTTTCTTACGGCGAAAGCTCTGACGGCCTACTTCTCTAAGAAAACGGTCAGCTTTGGCTTGGCGCTTCGTCAACAATGTCGTTTTTTCGGGGTTCAGGACTTGTCCAATACTCTGATCGAACTGCTCAACACAGCTTAAAGCATTAGCTAACTCACCTCTGTTGTTTTCTGGGGTCCAAAACTTAGCATCGTCAATGAAAGACCGAAACGAAATCGAGGGACAGACATTGTTCAGCACAGTAGCGAACACCGCATACGCAGAGTTGATCATAACGGCGAGGTCTTGCAAGCCTTATCTGGTTGTTTTTGTGTGCTCTCACACTCCCCGGCTGGAACGCCCGTGAAATTGGTGTCGGACCATCTCTCCTCCGAACCCACCCCTAAACCCTAAACCCTAAACCCCCAACCCTAAACCCTAAACCCTAAACCCCTAAACCCCTAAACCCTAAACCCAGCTCCCGGTAGGGTTTCTCCACCCATTGGTCTCTAAACGGTTGAACTCCTACACCCAAGCCTCTGACCCAAGCCCGTGGGTCCCTGAACCCGAAAGCACCCTGAATCCGTTGCATTTTGTTTAGCCCGAAGCCCTAGAACCCGAAACTCCTGTAAACCCCCAAAGCCCTCAACCCTATACTCTAGACCCTCTAAACTCTAAACCCTAAACCCTAAACCCTAAACCCTAAACCCTAAACAAACCTCACAGAGCCCTACAGAGCCGCAGGTACCGGATGGACACCCAGGGGCTCTTGGCGTTGCAGGAGGCCTGCGAAAGCATGCTGGTGGGACTTTTCGAGGACATGCCGCTGACCTGAAGGTTTAGGGTTTAGGGTTTAGGGTTTAGGGTGTAGGGTTTAGGGTTTAGGGTTTAGGGCTTCGGGGTGAGTTGAATGCGGGGGTTTCGGGTGGAGGGCTGCTGCCCCCAGATTCCCTAGCACATAAGATAACCCTTGCATTATGTGAACTTTTTTGGGCCCTAAACCCTAAACGCGAAACTTGTACCGCAACCTCCATAATTATTATCATCATTGAGTCACGGTTGTTTAGGATGGTTCCGGGTGACCTCGGCAGATGTTGAGGAGGCTTGGGAGTACTAAGGGAAGACCTGCCAATCAAGCATACAAACTTCAGGGGCGTCGAGAGAACCCTAAAGCCTGAAATCTGTGAGTGTTTGGCTGAGGGCGTCGAATCCGCAAGCTCTCAGCATAGGTTTAGGGTTTAGGGTTTGGGGTTAGGGTTTAGGGTTTAGGGTTTAGGGTTTAAGCCTCGGGTTTCGGCACGGCCTCGTTATGTTAGCACTTGCCGAAGTGATAGGGAACCAATGGAGTGAAGTATATGGGAGCTATACATAGTACGAGTATCCTTCTAGTCCCCCCTAGCACCCCGTAAAGAGCACCACATGAACACCCAAGAGCCCCGAAACCCGAAACCCGAAACCCGAAACCCGAAACCCGAAACCCTAAACCCTAAACCCTAAACCCTAAACCCTAAACCCTAAACCCTAAACCCTAAGCCCTAAGCCCTAAACCCTAAACCCTAAGCCGCCCCACTCAGGAATGTTTGCGCGGTTCACTGCAAGCGCGTGACGATCATGCCCAACGACCTCGTCGCCAGTCTTCAACCGGGTGTTGAAAGCTTTGGGGTTTAGGGGGTTTAGGGGGTTTCGGGGGTTTAGGGGGGTTAGGGGGTTTCGGGAGTTTCGGGGGTTTAGGGGGTGTAGGGGGTTTCGGGGGTTTCGGGGGTTTAGGGAGTTTCGGGGGTTTGGGGGGTTTAGGGAGTTGCGGGGGTTTCGGGAGTTTAAGGGGGGTGTAGGGTTTAGGGTTTAGGGCCGGCTGAGGGCTTGTAGGGCTTAAGGCTTAAGGCTTAGGGTTTAGGGTTTAGGGTATAGGGTTTGTGTTTAGGGTTTAGGGTTGATAAATATTTCAAGCTCTTTGAGTCTAGGGGTTCAAGGTTTAGGGTTTTAGGGTTCTTTTTCTTTTGGTTTAGGTTTCTGGTTTTTTGGGTCGCTGCGTTCCGAAAGCCCTAAACCCTAAACCCTACACCCCACACCCTAAACCCTAAACCCTAAACCCTACACCCCACACCCGAAACCCTAAACCCTAAGCCCTAAACCCTAAACCCTATCTCTGCGCGAAGGGGTGCAAAGGAGCTGATGAGCCGGGCGACAGCGGGTGAGCTCTGGGTCTGCTCACGTCGCATATTCAGTTCAAGGTTTCAGGTTGAAACCCTAAACCCTAAACCCTAAACCCTAAAGCCTAAACTCTCATCCCACCCCAAAACAATAAGCCCCCCAAACACTACACCTCTAAGTCGATCGCAAGGTCCTGTGCCGCCGGCTCAATGGCAGCTGGACGTGGGACAGCTCTCGAAGGCGGCTGGGGTAGTTTAGGGTTTGGGGTTTCAGGACCCCCTAAACCCTAAACCCTAAACTCCTAAACCCTAAACCCTAAAACCTAAACCCTAAACCCTAAATCCTAAACCCTAAACCCTAAACCCTGAACCCTGAACCCTGAAGCCTGAACCCTGAGCCCTGAACCCCGACACGCAACCCCCCGCCAAAGGTTTCAGGTTTTGGGTTCGGGTTAGGGGCCGAGAACCTGTACGATAGTTCTTTGTTGAACTATGGGAAGGGTTTGTCGCAGGGTCCATGGGTACCTTACTTAAGTTTCGTGGTTATGAGTGCACAAACGCTAAGGGTCCATGTGCCTATATACAAGGAGGGGCCCCGTTACTATACTAACTATAGTTAAGGGACTTATAACCTGAGTCCCTCCTTGTAGGAGCCTGGAAAGGGGGGCTTTGGGGTCTAGGGTTTAGAGTTTAGGGTTTAGGCTTCAGGGTCCATGTACCTACATAGCATATACTTGGGCCCTACAAAGCTACTCTATAGGAAGCCCTTTAAGGCCCCAAGTATCTACGACATCGCTATTTGGACCGTTTGTCCCGTTTCAAAAGGGTTAGGACTTAGGGCTTAGGGTTCAGGGTTTAGCGTAGGTACCTCGGGTACGCCGCATGAAGCTTGGGGTCGGTTTGTTGGAGGGTAGAAGCTCTACCCCAAACCCCAAACCCCAAACCCCAACCCCAAATCCCTAAACCCTAAACCCTAAACCCTAAGCCCTAAACCCTAAACCCTAAACCAGATCCCTCCCTTGATGCACAGGCCCCAAACGCCGGGCCATTAGGAGATGACGTGACCAGACGTCCTGCCATTCCTGGTCCTTCGAAGGGGGAGTGTAGGGCCTACACCAGTTAGGGTTTAGGGTTTAGGGTTTAGGGTTAAGGGTTTAGGGTTTAGGGTTTAGGGTTTAGGGTATAGGGTTTCTACACGAATTCAGCAAGATTTTAATACCAAACTAGGGAAGAGCACGCCTTTCAGTGGGGCTTCTTGGTAGCCCACCTAAGCCGCTCAGGCACCGAAGTCGCTAGGTTTAGGGTTTAGGGTTTAGAGTTTGGGGTTTAGGGTTTAGGGTTAAGGGTTTAGGGTCTAGAACTCCTACCGGTAGAGGGGGCATCTGCAAAAAAGAATGCGAAGCCGCAAAAGCTGTTCGCATGAGTCTCGTTCAGAGAGCAAAGCTTTCCAGTCTGTCCATGCGCGCTTTTCCAGAGGTCTTTGTGCGACTAATATAGGGGCCTCCATAATTCGAAAAGGGTTTTGGGGGTTCTGATGGTATATGTAGAAAGGGACCACAAGGGGATACTTCTAGTAACTATGCCGTATGCCGACCCCAATATTAGGCTGAGGTGCCTCACGCCGTAGCCCGGCCTAAGCCCTGAATCAGGGTTTGACTAAGTTTTGGGGATCAGGCTCTATGTATAAGCCTTCTGTTTCTTGAGGCTACTGCTTCCACCACGAGGATTGGCATTGCTAGTATTGTTGCTTGATGAGTGTTTCTACCAAGACCATTGCTGCCGTTAAGTTGCTTTTGTGCATTTGTAAACTCCTAAACCCCGAAACCTAAACCCTCCCCCCTAAGCCTAACGAATATGTTAACCAGTTTCTGCTTATTGTGGATCTATAGGTGGCTTAGGTTTACGGGAACTGCTGGGATGTAGGGTTTAGGGTTTTGGGTTTAGGGTTTGCCTGCCCAAACTGCACGTTCAGGCTTCAGGGTTCGGCTTGTCGCCCTACGGCCGTTGGGGTTCTGGTCGATAGGGCTTAGGGTTTAGGGATCCCTATAAAGCTCGCTAGCCCGGTGGTGCCCTTCTCCCCTTTTTTTGGTTCCAGGTTCCCTTATGGACTAAACCCTAAACCCTAAACCCTAAACCCTAAACCCTTTACTAAACCCTAAACCCTAAACCCTCAGGCCAAAAAGGGTGCCCTTACCACAACATGGTTACTGGGCTGCCAAGACATGGAGCCGACCGGGTTTCGCACAAAGGCCTCGGGACCTTTCGCATGACGCCTGGGAAGGGCGCCGCCGCGTTAAAAAAGGGCCGTTGGTGTTTAGGGTTTAGGGCTTAGGGTTTAGGGTTAAGGGTTTAGGGTTTAGCGTTTAGGGTTTGGGGTTTATTTCTGAGAGTTTAGGGTTTTGGTGTGGAGGTCTGCATGGTTTAGGGTTTTATAGGCTGCTGGGTGCAGGTTGGTTAGGGCAGAGTTTAGGGTTTGGGGCTTGCAAATGGGGTTTGGAGAGGGTCAGGAAAGTACGCAGACGGCTTCTGCTAACCTAACGATTAGGTCCCCGGAAGTATAGGGTCAATTAAACCCTAAACCCACCCAAGTCCTGAACCCTAAAATCGCTAAGTTCTAAACCCTAAGCCTTATACCTATCCCTTTAAGGGATCATAGAAGGTGCCTAATTCCCTCATTCCCCACTGAAAACCCGCAAAGAAGGTTTCTCTATCGCCCTGCAGTGATGGCTGCCCTTCCCTGTACCACTACAAGGAGCCGTGCCGGGGCAGATGCCACCCCTAAACCCTAAAACGCTAAAGCCCAAAAACCCTAAAACCCTAAACATCCCTGAACCCTAAAACCCTAAACATCCCTGAACCCTAAAACCCTAAACATCCCTAAACCCTAAAACCCCAAAACCCTAAAACCCTAAACATCCCTAAAACCCTGAAACCCCAAACTGGAGGAGGTTTAGGCTGCGGAGCGGGGCGCCGCTGAGATTCAGGGGCTTAGGCCTCGGGGGTGAGGGCCGCCTGCAGTTTTGACGGTTTAGGGGATAGGGTCCTCAAGGGAAGGGGGTTCAAGGGGGATATAGGGTTTAGGGTTTAGGGTTTAGGGTTTAGGGTGAAACCCAAGGTTCCCTCCCCAAAGCCCCTAACCCTAAACCCCCAAACCCCGAACCCCAAACCCCAAACCCTAAAACCTAAACCCGAAACCCTAAACCCCAAACCCCTAAACCCCCCCCAAAACTTCTTCTTAAGGCCCTAAGCGCGTGGACTGCCTCTAAGCGGCCTCCTTGAACGCTGTTCGTGCTGCCTACTCCGGCTGTGCTACGACGCCGTAGGGCTTAGGCTCAGGGTGACGGACTGCCGGGAATAAGCATTATATATAAATAATATATATATATATATGTATATTGTATTATAGTTATTTATATTTATAATTTTATTTTTACTGACATATTTATTGATATTCAAATTTTTATTGAAATTTTCATTTACATGTATATTTATATTTATATTTATTTCTATGTGTCTATTTGTTTTTGCATTTATATTTATATTTAGATTTATATCTATTTTTATATTTAGATTTATATTTGTATCTCTTCTTTTTATGTACATATATATATATATATGCAAAAACCCCTCTACCCTTTGAACCCTATAAACCCTGGAAAACCTCAAACAGGGTTTAGGGTTTAGGGTCCCTTATGTGGGGTCCTTGAGTCCCCTCACATGTGGCGGACTCACCCGCCTCCCTGCTTTGACAGTCCAGCTTCCGCTGAGAGGGTTAGGGTTTAGGGTTTAGGGTTTAGGGTTTAGGGTTTTGGGTTTAGGGTTTAGGGTTGCCGAGCTTGGAAGAGGGTTTTAGACGGTGCCCGCTAGGCCCCTCGGGAGTTAAGGGGTTTTGGGGTTTTAGGGGTAAGGGTTTAGTGTTCATAGGGTTTATAGGGATTTTGGGGTTGCCTTCAAAACCCTCTTGGGGTTTTAATTTTGAAGGTTTTGGATTTGCGTTTAAGGGTCGCTGTGCGGAAGCAGGCAGCCAGACGGGCCAACGTAGTCACAACTCCTGGCTCACGGTCTCATCCGCTCCATCTCCCCTGGGGAGGGGGGGGTTGAGGGATGTGCAAGCATCCCTCCCGTAGGCCACTGAGCCTTAAACCCTAAAGCCTAAACCCTAAACCCTAAACCGTAAACCCTAAACCCTAAGGCCACTGAGCCTGAAAGTCCAAACCTTCAACTCGAGGCCTGACACGGTCTTAAGGAATGCGTTTCCTCAGATTCTATACAGTGATACAGCGCCCGTTGCCGAAGAACATGGAGTGGGCTGAGGAAAATGGGAGTCAGGGTTGTGGGTGAGAGGTGAGCGAGGCGTGGGTGTGGGGCCTTTTAGGGTTTAGGGTTTAGGGTTTAGGGTTTAGGGTTTAGGGTTTAGGGTTTTAATAGACTCTTTATCCCGTATTGCCCCTTTTAAGGGGTGTTTTTGGGTATGTACTGTACCTAATTCCCTAGTTCCCTTCGAAGAACCAGTACGTTTAGGCGAGAGTGATTAAAGCCCAACCCGAATCCTAGACCCGTTAGTTCTCACACCCATGCCCGAGGGAGCCTAAACCCTAAACCCTAAGCCCTACACCCTAAACCCTAAACTCCCCAATTTCCAGTACCCTGTGTGACTTCTGGAAAGGCATAGACGCCCTAACCAGAGCCCCAACCCTAAGCCCTAAACCCTGAACCATGAACCTTGCTGACCTTACACCAGGAACACTGATGCCTAAAGCCTTCTACCCCGAACCCGAAACCCTAAAGCCTAAGCCTTTGTACCCTGAACCTTGAACCCAACCTCCGATCCTCCCAAGGGGTCGTGTCGCTTTTGAGGCTTCAAAATCGAGGTCAATGAGAAGATGCTCACAAAACGCGTCTCGAGGCCCCAGTTCGTGAGCTCCAAAACCCCAACACCCGAACAACAAAACCCTAGGTTTTAAGCACCGGAACCGAAAACACTGGAAACTCCAAAGCCCAAAACCCCTAAACCCTCCTATATAGACCCGTAAGCCCTAAACGTGCGGTGGGTTTAGGGTTTAGGGTTTAGGGATCAGGGATCAGAGGGTGGGGTGTGTGCTTTTTGGATGGGATAGAGGGCTGCCTTTCATCCCTCATTGCCCCAGATATGACCACCCCTAAGCCCGAAACCCTTAGCCCTAAACCCCTAGGGTTTAGGGTTTAGGGTTTCGGGTCTAGGGTTTAGGGCTAAACCCTAAACTGCCCCCTTAAAGAAAAAGGCAGGCAGACTGTACTGTCAAAGAGCTGACGACCTCTACAGCAGAGTTGACAAGGGAGAGACGGAAGAAGCCTGAGCTACAAAATCTTTTGAGGTTTCTTGGGTTTGGGGTATAGGGTTTAGTCTTTAGGGTTTCTCGGGGTTTAGGCTTCAAAGGCTTCAAACCCGGTTCATGGGTCGTTAGAGGGTGTGGTTCCGTTTTTGTTTTTCGGAGTTATCGAATGGCGATATCTCACTGAGTATCTCAACCCTCAACCCTCAACCCTCAACCCGTAGAGACAGTACCCATGAACCTTCAAGTAACGCTTGAACGCAGGTCCTCTGGTCCTGGAGGACAGAGTGTGGCTCTGACGATGTTAGTTTTTTTGTTTTTATTCTTATTATTTTTATCAATACCACAGCTGTTCTTATGATTATTATTATGATTATTAGTACATTGTTTTTTTTTTGTTGGGGGGGGGGGGGGGTTAGGCTTATCTAAGGGTTTAGAGGAAAGTGGCGGGCAAAAAGTTGTCTAGCTATTCAGGTCCCTCCTGTATTCTGCACGACCTAACAGCAATGTATAGGGACCCTTGACCTTGTGTATGCTAATTCTGGAGGTCGGCGTCTCTGCATGTAGACCGCGTGTTACCATAACTTGAAAAGTTCGAATCCCTAAATCCTAAACCCTAAACCCTAAACCCTAAACCCTAAACCCTAAACCCTAAACCCTAAACCCTAAACCCTAAACCCTAAACCCTAAACCCTAAACCCTAAACCCTAAACCCTAAACCCTAAACCCTAAACCCTAAA